CACCCACATATTTATTAAAAAATATTTGTTAAAGCACACTAAACACTTGTAGTAGTACATTAGGTAACGCATGGACAAGCACAGTATCGAATAAGTGAACCCTTGACTCGTACCGGTAAGTGTTGACAGGTGCGATCCGACCTCCTCGATTTCCAAAATACGACTGAGAGCATTTGACCTCCCGCTACTGTGAGTGTTATTGGTAGTTGACAACAGCCAATTAGACATCATAATGATCTACCGATCTACCAATAGATCGAATTCGACCTCTTCAAGTGTAAGAGTGATTGGCAGTGTACAGTAGCCAATTAGAGATCATGTAATCCACCAATAGCATGCAACCACTCTCATTGGATGTTGTATAATTATTTTAACGTTAATTTTTTTATAATTTCATATTTTTCGATTGTTTATTAACAAATTTATTGTTGCAATTATTTAAATTTATTAATTTTTTTTAACTTAATCTTGCAGATATGTTGCAAAATGATTATTTATTAATATACATATGTATATGTATTACAATCGTGAATTATACATATAATATAATATAATGGGAATAATATGATGGAATATAGGAGATTAATATATTTGCAATAACACAAAAGCACAATAACTTTTAAAACACTAAATGAATTTATTATTTAAGAAAAACGACTTGGAAGGACTGAATAACTATATTTTATACGTGTGAAAATTATAATATCAGAGAAACAATAACAAAGAAATACATGGATTTTATTTTGTTAACATGCATAAATCCGATAAAAATCGAGTGGTATCTTTTTCCTTTGCTCTTGCAACAAACATTGGTATTCATATAACAAATTGGCTGCAAACGTAAAAAATAATAATAATCATAAATAAATTTAATATTACTTTTATTATATATAATCTGTTGTATTATTTAACCCTTTTATTTTCTTTCCTGCAATTTTCTTCAGATTTATTTTTTTTTCCTTACTAAGGCCTATTGATACCTTATATTTCATCAAAGTGTATACGCTACTGAGGACTTCTACGGATAGCTTACTGCGCATGCACTGGGACTGCTCAACACTGCATAGAGGGGATAATGTAAATAGTAGGGGAACTTTCTGACTGAAGTTGCATTAAATGCTAATATTCGTAACTGCATGTCAGGTTTGGTTAGGAATTTTTGTTGACACCTGCCATGTATAAAGAAAAGCATATCTGAAAAAGTATACATGATTATATGATATTAATTAATGTATCGATACATTCAGTCAAGAGCTACTTTAATGTATGTAATGTATATTATTGGATGTGTTTAAAAAAATTATGTAATCATTGAATAATTCACATGTTATTTTTTATATTTTATTTTCTAGAAAAGCTACTTGTCTTATATTTAAATCAAATTTCATAATGAAGAGAACTGTACGTAAAACACGTGAAGTAAAAACGATAATTGAGTTAAGTGACTCTGAAGACGATAATCACATTGTTGTAAGTGATGATGATTATGTTCCGGAAAAGAAAGTTTCAAAAACAAATCAAGGAAAAAAAAGAATTAAGGAAGATAGTACGAATGCAGGTAACAAAAGGAAAAAACTTAAAATAGCAAAGGAGGAGCAAATAAAAATAGAATGTGAGGATAAAAGTACAGAAATAAAGCCTACACATGTAGATGATGCCAAAGAATCAATAGATTTAAAAAAGAAGGTACAAAGTAAAGGTACAAAAAGTAAGAAGGTAGCGGCACAACCTATTGATAAAGAAAATATTAAAGAGTCATTAAAAAATATACATTTTAATTCCACTAAATGTCAAGAATGGACTGATGTAGATTATGTTTGTGAGACTAATAATATTGATAGGCATATTGCTGATAATGTTATAAAGCTTTTCAATGATAACAACACAATTCCATTCATTGCAAGATATAGGAAAAATATGACTGGTGGTATGGAACCAGATAAACTAAGAGCCTTAAAAGAGAGTCTTGAATGTGCTCGATTAATTAAACAACGTGCTGCTACCATATTAAAAAATATAGACAAAGTAGCAGGACAATGGTCACCAAGTATACATGCTGCCATTGTATCTGCTAAATCCATGGATGATTTAGAACATATATATTCCCTTTTTAAACCAGAGTCTAAGCAGTCATTAGCAGAGAAAGCTAGAAAATTAGGTTTAGGTCCTATTAGTGATTCTATATTACATGGTCAACCATTACCTTACTTATCATCTCTGATTGTTCCTGACAAAGATGGTTTAAAAACTGAACAACAGATTAAAGATGGTATCATACATATAATAGCAGATATTATAAATAAAGATAAACTGGTATTTGACAAAGTCAAGGAACTCCAAAACGCAACAGTAATAAAGATAAAAACTACTAAATGTAAAAGCCATAAATCTACAGATGATAAAGAAGGAAAGGATACTGACAGAAAATATGAAATGTATTATGACTTTGATACAAATACTACAATTATTAAACCTCACCAAATATTAGCTATTAATAGAGGAGAAGCACAAAAAATTCTAAGTGTAAAACTAACTTTGCCTGATTTTTTTGAAAGAGGATTTCACACGTTTTGTTATAAATTATATAGGCAAGCTATGGCAGTATCCCAGCTACACACTGAAATATTAAATAATAGTATTGACTATGCTTATACAAAATTTGTTAAACCATTAGTAATACGACGCGTCCGTAATGAACTGAAACAGAAAGCTGAAACTGCATCCATAGAAGTTTTTGTAACTAATGTTAAACAATTACTTCTCACTCCACCAGTTCGTGGAAAAATTATACTTGGTATAGATCCTGGATTTCATCATGGTTGTAAGTTAGCAGCAATTTCTGAGCATGGAAATGTACTTGAAACAAGTATAATTTATCCACATAGCAAAAGGAAAAACTCCTATGAGGAAGCTGCTAATTCATTAGTAAATTTAGTGAATAAGCATAAATGTACAATTTTAGCATTGGGTAATGCTACAGCATGCAGAGAAACGGAATCTTTTTTAAATACATTAATTAAATCTAAGGCTTTTGGTTCAATAGATGTTTCATATACAATAGTTGACGAATCAGGAACATCAATATACAGCTGCAGTGCAGAAGCAAAATCAGAATTTCCTAATCTTGATGTAAATGTAGTTTCTGCTATTTCTATAGCAAGACGTTTACAGGATCCACTTGCTGAATTAGTGAAAGTAGAACCTAAACATTTGGGTGTAGGAATGTACCAACATGATTTGCCAGAGAAACAGTTATTAACAGCTTTAAATGAAGCAAGTATCATATTCTATGTATTGAACCAAAGTAGAATTAACCATTACATTTATGTAATAATGAAAATGTTTGCAGGTAGTTTCAGAGGCTGTAAGTTTTGTAGGAGTGGATGTGAACACTGCATCTCAATGTCTTCTAAAAAGAGTTGCTGGTTTAAACATAGCCAGAGCAAAAAATATCATACAATCAAGAATTGAATTAGGAGCATTTAAGAACAGACAACAGTTGCTAGATGTTAAAGGAATTGGAAAGAAAGTATTTGAACAATGTGCTGGTTTTATTAGGATATTACCAGAAACTTCAATGATAAACACAGTAAAACCTAAAGATTCAAAAAAATCTGAGCATACTTTTAATTTATTGGATCAAACTTGGATACATCCTGAATCATATGGAGTAGCTGAACGATTTTTACAATATTGTGATTGCAATCTGGAAAATCTTGGAACTGCAACGTTCATTGATAAGATAAAGTCGCGTGCTGAAGAAGGATATGCCTTACTGGCGGAGAAGTTTGATACAAACGAGACAACGATGGAAATAATAGTGAAAGGCTTGTCCATGAAAAAAGATGAAGATATAAGGTTCAAATCCGCTAGTCCCCTGTTTCGGAAGAACATGCTTAGTATTAATGACATAAGTGTCGATATGGTATTAACCGGTGCGGTACGGAATGTCACACATTTCGGGGCATTTGTAGACATAGGAGTAGGTAGAGCTGGTCTCATACCTACTAAATGGTTAAACAATTCTTCTGTCTCTGTAGGTCAACACGTAGAAGTGCAGGTAGTTTCAGTAGAGCTGGCTCGTAGTAGGATTAGTTTAAAATTAATTAACATTTTATGATCTGTTGTATGTTTGTATATGACATTTTACATAATCTCTAAGTTTGTACTTAATCTTTTTTGTAATCATTTTGAGAATAAATTCTATTTTTGACATAAACCAATTTCTTTCACGGAACATAAAACTAAATATGAAGGATGGTCCGATGTGCATCGGTAATTTACTGTTTTCCTCTTGTAGATTAAAGTTTCCCGAAAACTATGAATAAACATTAGCGCAAGAAATATTACATTCTGGACCTATTGTGTGCATAATATTTCACGCACGACTCACTGCGAGTTGACAACTAATAATAAATTGTTCCTCATCGTTATTGCGCGTTGACCTGGAATTAATCAATCCACCGAATAATATACAATACATTTATGCAAGTGTTTGCTTCAATCAAATTTAATGGAAATTTATTCTAGTTCCATCCGTAATACATACTGATGAGCACACCAAATTTTTTCATGAAAACGAAAATTTTTTTATTATATATATATATAATAAAAAATTATAATAATAAATAAATTAATTATATAATAAAATTATATAATTTTATTATAAAACATTTTGTTCCTTAATCATGTACTAAAATATTTTGAATAAATTGCGCCAAAATTATTCGATATTTTCGTAAGTGTCTTATTCTATATAATCGATACGAATCATATCGTCCCATATCGATACTTCAAACAGAAGTGCGTTGGCTTGTAACGGCCCGCGGAATCTTGAGTGTGGAAATATATTTATCGAAGCAACGGGATTCAGGTTGTAAATTTCAAATATGGTCACGAAGCAGTCAATGGGACAACCATCCGAGAATCTATTCGGTAACCTGAAAAGATCTAACGATGAATTCTGTACACGTTTCGCGGTGTTTCTCCCAGAGGAAGGAATTCAAGGTTTCCGTGGGTCAGATGTTATTCTGCATCGGATACTGCAATAGTCGCAAACTGCTCCGATAACACAGGGTTAGTTTAAATTATTAATAACAAATTATTTTACTTTGAATTTTATAACTTTTATTACGATGATTCACTACCATCGTATTATACTTTCAATACATCGAAAATTTTAATTCTACTTCTATTGCGTATATAGACGCCATATTGCTTTTCGAGAACTTTCAATGTTATTTAAATAAATATAAATTTATAAATTTGGAGAAGTTAATGCAATTTTAGGATTAAAAAAATTGGTAAAATATATTTTCATAGAATAATATATATATTAATGTTATTATTTTGAGAAATATTTGTAAATATATATACATATCGCATTTGAATAAAGTAGTCGTTTTCCCGCGCGTTTTTCTAGTAGTCACATTCCCGCGCGTTTTTCTGCAATTGCACAGTGTTTTGGCAAAGTGATCGGAAGCAGAAATTGTTCCCTGTCAGTTAATATTGTGTTCTTATTTCTACTAACATATTGTGTTCTTCATTTGATTAACTAGATAAACCGGAAAAGAAGGTAAGTTCTTCAAAAAATTAAAACGTTTGTCAATAAGAATAAAAAGTAGCCTATCATATACATTATGTACCGTAACGTACATGTCATTACTTTCGTAAATTATCAAATTCGCCATTTTTCGTAACTATATTACTTTGACTGTTCTTATTTTGTTAATGAAGCGATTATCAACTATAAATTATATATCAGGATAATACAACATAATACTTTGTTCTAAAAATGGTGAAATAACTATTTGAAACATTTTACGTGGTTTATTGCGCATATATGCCACCGCGTAACATAACCTCCCACCCCTTGTCCTTTTTTGTATGCATGGCATGCCTACCATGCACATATTAGGCAGACACATAAAATTCAGGGAAACTAACAGCCCTGCAGACGCATAGAATAAAGTTAAATGAAAGATAGCAAAAAATTTAATCTACAAACTGTAAAAGTACAACATGATAATTATGTACTGAATCATTAATGCTGATTATAGTCGATAAGAAATTTTGTGCTCTATTTCATGATCCAACCGCGTAAGTTCAAATTAAAAGTAACCCTTTTCACAGGCAACGTCGCGGTCTATGGCGATTCTACTCTGTTTCTCATTTCTCTCTGTCTGGGATCTCTCCCGTCAGCTTCTCTACAGACAATGGCTTGCCCGCAGCACCGGCTGGTAATATCCTGGAGTTCACCTATGGCCTGTACTCGTCCACGCCAGCCTCGGAACCCTTTTACTGAAAGCGGTAAAAGTGACGGCGTCCTTGGATCCCGATACGGTGAGTCACACACGATGATCCATAGATAACCAGCTGATGAATCGCCTCTAGTTTACCCGGTTGCGTGAAACAAAAGGACAACGGCAAAGGATCACGGCATTTTCTAATAGAGTCAAGGAGAGATAGGATTACCTCTGCGAATGGGTTTCTCGATAAAATAGAAAATAACAATCGCCGTAAATTCACGGATTTATACGACTGAAATGAAATAAGTAAAAATAACACTAATTGAATAGATTTGCGGTTTTATCGCTACGTGTGTAGAGTCTCGCTTATATGTCGTAATTACATTGATTGAATTATACGCAATTTAATTGCACTGTACTTTAATTATATAGGAATTCAATTATGTTGTAATTTGAATTGCATAATTTAAACCTTGTAATTAATTCAATAGCTAATTACTGTAATTACGAGGGGAATTCAATTATACTCGTTTCTGCTCAGATATAAAATTAATAATACCGTATTCATTATTATGGTATAGTTATGGTATAGTTATATCATCGTTTGTTGTATAGTTGTACGTTATATCACCATGTGTGGCACAATTGCGTACTGTAATATCGCGGTCTATATACCCTCGTGTTATAGCACCATAGATTGCGTAATCTCGCGTTATATTGCCGCCGCAATGTACTCTCGCATTATATCACCGCCGTATTGTATTCCCGCGATATATCACCGCTGTATTGTATTCTCGCGTTATATCACTGCCGCATTATATTATCGCGTTATATCACCGCTGTATTGTATTCTCGCTATGTTGCATTCTCCCGTTATATCACCGCGAAGTTATATTCTCGCGTTATATTATCATGCGTCATATCATTACGTATTATACCACCATATGTAATTTAACTTTAAATTTGTCTCTCGTTATATTACCTTTCATCTATGTCAGGAGTGTACTACGTCCAGTATCTTTAGGTTGATGCTTATAAAATAGATATACGCGAGCATTAGATCAGCATATATTTTACGAATGGGTGCACGAATAAAACGAAACGAAGAACCGTATGATTCTCTCGGGTACAATGAAAGAGCATTGGTATTAACGCGCTCGGTTCTGCTCGGTATGGCCTTTAAATATTTAACAAATTCAATCTTGCCGCGGTGGTCGCGGTTGTCGAGACTCGTTGGCAGACCGCCATCGTGGTTGTATTAAGTTCTCGCGTTGTTCGTCGTGGGCTGAGATAATGCATGTAGGATCGCGCGAAAGGTTGCATAGTTTTTAATTTGTCGATGGCACAGCTCGTTGCAGAGAGCCTCGAAAAGAAGACACGGAGGATTCGTGGAACGTCGCTGGAACACGGCCTCTCTTGTGTACATTGAACAATGGTCACGAAGCTGAAAACCGTGGAGACCTACACTTTGACAAGACATGTTTACTCCATGAATGTATGTGTACAGGGTGTAAAACAAGTTTTGTGTCATTCGTTTCTAAAGATGACTTTATCGACATTCATATCATAGTGTAACACGTAATGATGTGCATATGATGTTTCAGGAATAGTGTGACAGACCGGGTTGTTAGAAATATTTTGAATAACAGGATGATTCCGAATGACATGTATCGTATGATACATGTTATAGGTCACAGCCGTATACATTATAGGACATAGAACACATATATTCATAGTGATTAGGTAATTAAACAAATTATTAGTTATTAATTGTCATACAAGTTTATAACAAAATAACAATGGATATTAATTTTTCAGAAAATGTTCGAGAACTTTGAAGCGTGGAAATCATATGTCACGAACCATTTCATACACCATGTACCGATGTACGACCAGGAAGAGACATGAGGTATGTACACATACATATACAGGAGATCTCATCTGCAAAAACACAGCGTGCTCCACGGCTCTACTTCGTTATTGTATTCTTGTAGTCGGGATGATTTTCTGAAAACAGTGGATTTCGTTTCAGACTACGCTGAAAGTTTTAGCAAGCAATCTGCCGTTTCTATGTCTCTATCGAGTAACGCCTAAGCTTCTTCCATTCCGTGTCTGTTCGTTGTCTCTCGAATTTCGAATCAATTTTGCAGGAGATGTGGAACCTCCTGTGTCAAATAAATCGCCTTTGCTGAGTTTAAGAATGACACTGTCTTTTGTTCCTGCTTTTACGTTACTCTTCGCCTATTCTTCGGATCCCGAGCTTCTTTGTTTCTATCTCAGGGGTCAATACGTGCGAAAACAGGATTGGAAAGTATACGAGCTAAATTTTGCAGGATTCAATATCTAGTTCAAGATAGATGCGACGTAGACAAATTTTTAAGGTCTCAAATTTTCAAATTTTGAAGTCGTGCGTTTTAAACTTTTTACGCGTATAATTCAGCTTGCTGTACTCGCGCATAAACACAAATAAAATTGCACGAAGCTCACGACCATCAGAGGGTTAACGCGTCTTCCTGCATCGTCTGGGTGACAGTAGATTTTCATGTTACTGGTCGCGCATAGCCGCAGATTATAAAATCTCTTGTGCGAGAACGAATCATTTAGGTATTAAGAAGAACCGCAAAGGCTGGTAGCAGGGGAAACAAAGAACTGTACCGTAGGTTGTAGCAGGGACCACAATGTCGTAACGACAAAATATAGGTAGATATTGCAGCAGGATAAGCGTGTAGGTGCAGCCCCGGGTGAAAAGTAGTTTCAGATCGTCTAGTCTAACAATGGCGCGTATGAAAAGAGAAGAAAAAGCGAGACGCATGAAAAGCGTACCGGAAAATAAAGAGAAGATAGCGAAGTCAGAGAGGAGCGGCTGTAGAGGCGAGAGGAAGAGAATTCAATGCCAAGGTTTCAGCCTGCAGTTAAATCGATATTCGATATTTTACGCTCGCCAAAACGTTACGTACACATACATGTTGTGGTAATATTATCGCGTTTCGTGTATCTTTTCGATGACAATGTACCCGTATACACTCTCTTTTGTGAATAGTTAATGTATTGTATACATCGAAACTTATTGTTAGATATTTTCAAGAAGTTGCGAAGGACATTCGATATTCTATTCTGCAAATTTTTTTAATAATTCAATTATCGCAAAAGTTTTTGCCTCGATATTTACTTGAAGGTCTTCTTATTACCTTTTCCAACTTCGCCATTTTATTACTTCGATATTGTATTCTATTACTATTCTACTGTCCCACTTTTTCATTATGTTGATATACAGTAAATTTTACTATTGTATATTACTACGCCACTGTACTACTATTATGTTATTTTTCCAAATAACAATTTTACTACAATATTACTTTACCACCCTTCCACTCTACCTGTGGTCAACACAATTTTCATTTATATACTCTCCCTTATTCAGTAGCCCATTTCATACGAATCTATAAAAATTGACACGATCTTTTTATCCTCTTTTTATCACAGGTAGAAGTTTCGTACAAACTCTTTTCAATTTTCGTCGCCCAGTTCCAGGCATAACTCGTTTCAGAATTCGTAGCTACCCGAGAATAAATAGAAAACAAGGTTCATCTTTTATCGATATATTATTTTCTGCCTTCTCCCTGTTCTGGTCGCCGGTTACGTCCCCCCCGGAAAAGCGTTCTCAAAGATCATAATAAGTTTTCCCTGACAATTCGAACGACGGATACGCGTCGATGGCTACGGTCACGTACAAACGATTCCCTTCTTATCGCGTATAGCTCCTAGTTTTCTAGATCGTTTCACCGAGGCGTGTAAGCGAGCTTTCTATTTTCTATCGAAAACACATTCGCCATCGCATTGTGTGTACGTCGCCTCGAATAAGTATACGTCTGCTTGATCGCGAGCATTCACGATTCCGCCCACTGCAATCCGATTTATACGATTGCTCGGAGGGGAATCAATTGGCCCGCGAAGCTGCGAATTGTATTGTCGAACTTCGTTCAAGATTTTTCCTCATAAATATTGCGATGTTGATCGATCTTTAAAAATCACTCTCTGTTATCGATTTATCAGTCTTGAATGGATATCGTTCAGAATCTTTAGCACTGAATAGTTCTTCTATCTTATTTGCTAACTATACAAAATGTACGTTGTGTACAATATATGGCAATATAACATGTGGTAATGCAACGCATAATGTACTGCGCGATAGCATAATGCATCGACCGTGTAATATTCCTCTTATCTAATCGTCAAATAGCGTTTACACAGTAATTTCGGTTCAATACGACCGCGAGTGATTTGTAAATAAAACGGAAAGGTTTAGATACGGTGGAAATTGATAGCAACCAGTCGACTGGCTTTAGCAGCATGTAACTTTCGTTCATACAAAGCGCTCTTCCACTGAAGAAGCTTTTCCCACCCCGATTTCTTTGCCGCCCTGCCATTTCGGCGGCTTAAGTTCTTCTGATGCGACAGCCTCGTAACAGGATACAGATTACCGCGAGAAATACCTTTGTCGTATAAATACGGGGTCGTTTCGTTAAACAGCCGGTGTAAAAATCTGCTGTGCAATTTCTGAAATGTGCTTTGCTAAAACGATGCTTATTAATATTCGTACACCCTTGCCGATGTTATTATACAACATATATATCATACATATAAGTATTATACATACACATCGTACAGACACGTCGTAATATGTTCAACACATGTTACATAATATGTGTAAGAAATCATACACGTACAAAATTTTCATGAGAAAATTTTCATGAGAAAGTACTCATGTTAAAAAATAAACTGCGAAAATACGTGTTGAATTAAGAATTTGCCTCGTTATAACTATTGAAAGTATACTTCAGAAAGATCTCATGCAACGCGTATAATTATTGAAAAGACGTGTGTGAATATTTTTGTTCGAAACGCATAATATTATGAATGAAAATCCGGAAACTTACGTGTCCGTCGCAGTATCTGGCAGTATCGCCATAGTCGCGAGTCATAGGAGCTTGGTGATCCAATTATAGCGGTGCACCACGAACGTGAAGCACGGGTGACGGCGGCTCGCAACCCTTCACCTCTCCCCCTTGTCGAAGGGGAAACTGGTGGTACCTGCAGTGGTAACGATCCTCAAAAGCAGAACGGATGATGTCTCGCCGTAGGCAACGCGAGGGTCACCGTGGATTCGACAGACGGATATCAATTCAAACGCCGCGTTAAATCGCGCCATTCCTGCGAAACATTTTTTCCTCTCTTTCTTTCGCGATCGTTTCGAAAGAGAGGAAATCGAGTTCCCTCTCTGTTCGCTCGTGCGTTCGTATTTATCGCATTATCATTAACGCTCGCATCGTTGTAGTTGAATCCCTCTATTTATATTGTACTTTTGTTTAATATTCTTGTTTCATGGTACTTGTATGGAAGCTGAAAACGTGCTTGCTGAAATAGTAAAATATACGTACTTGTTGATAGTAAGAAGAAAACAAGATGTTTGTTTAAATAGTAATATGGAAAGACAGTAGTAATAGTGTAGCAGTAGTAGAATAAGGATGTATCTAATAGGACAATTAAATGGAGAAATAAAAGAATGACAAATATATTTTGTGTATTGTAATATGGTTAAATATATTGTATTGTAGTATGGTTAAGTAGTAACTGTAATAAGCAGTAATGTAATAAGATGGATGTATCTAGTAGGACTATTAAGTGGAGAAATAAAAGAATGACAAATATATTTTGTATATTGTAATATGGTTAAATATATTGTATTGTAGTATGGTTAAGTGGTAACTGTAATAAGCAGTAATGTAATAAGATGGATGTATCTAGTAGGACTATTAAGTGGAGAAATAAAAGAATGACAAATATATTTTGTATATTGTAATATGGTTAAATATATTGTATTGTAGTATGGTTAAGTAGTAGAATTAGTGAAATAGTAACATATTGGTATTGTGCTGTAATGATGTAGTGGAATTGTAGAGTAGTATGTATGTCTAGTACAATTGGCAGAGTAGTGGTACAATGGGATTGCAGTATAGTAGTATAGTAGTGTAGTAGTGTAGTAGTGTAGTAGTATAGTAGTATTTAATAGTAGTAGTTGTGCAGTCTAATTGGTGAAATAGTAGTATGATAAAATTGTAAATTAGTAGCCCAGCAGTACAATAGAATAGTGAAAGGATAGTCCAATAGTATACTGAAGTAGTACTCTACTATAATACTAAACTTTTTGAGTGATACTCCGATAAAAAGGTGAAGTAGTGTATTACTAAAATGATCAAACACTAGTATGTATAAATCAATCTGCGACATAATAGCACAGTAGTACAATGAAACAATAATATAACACAAAACGAACAAAAGAAAATTGATTTCCAAATGCAACAACGAACGTCACGAATGTTCACTTCGTTCCTCTACGTGTTTGTTTGTCGTGCAAATATAACCACAGGCTTTTAACTACAAAAGGGACAAGGAAGACAGAAAGGGCGTATCTTTATCATTTTTATGACCCCATACGAGGGTGAACAAAATTTGAAAGTTGCCTGGCAAAGGCCGTTTCAATAACTGCAAGTTTCCAAGAAACTTTTGGCACGATCGAGCTGCGGCTGAAAGGGGACACTGAATTTCTCCATATTCATGGCAACCATTCCGAATAGAATATATACGCGAAATGCATAATATTCGTAGCGGTGTATGAACATTGGACGTGAACCAACATTGTGTGTTGTCCTTCCGTAAATATGTACAACTGAAACGAACTCGATTTACCTTTCGGTCCTATGGTTTTGTTATCCTTCCGATGGCACCCCCGTTACACGCGAATCGCGATGAGATACAAATTAATGTTTTATGTTTGTAACGTTTTTATGCTGTTCTCTTTCGTCGAATGTTGTCTTGTTTTCTATCAAATTACCATTTACAATTATATGT